TGTTGGGTGTAGAGGCAGTTGGCTGTCCCTTGGTTGTTTGTGGCTGCTCGTGGCTACCCTTGGCAGCATTTTCAGCTGTTTATGTTTGTCCATCAATAAATAGCTTTGGCAACAACGTAAATGTATGTGCAAGTGCCTGCACCGTCACAAGAAAAAAAAGTATCAAACTTGTATCACTTATCAAATGCAATAATCCCTAGATCAGACCATTGTAAGCCAGTTAATAGAAAGGAGTGTGAGGTCGTCTCATACATTTTGATTTGTCCTTTCATGGGAAAATTTGCATCTACGCGCTCTTCCAATAGTTTAGGGGCATCGAAAATGCCCATGCTGTTTATTGCACTTCAACACGTTTCGGGCCTAATACGTCCTGGCCCTCCCCCATGCTTAGTATGTTTTGTTTGGAAACTACTTTATTCAAGAATATATACCCCAAAAGTATTCCAGTTTCTGGAAGTAAGCCTCCTTTTTGCAGATATATCTAACTAATTTGGGTAATATTAACGGTATTTCACAATCTGCCAAAATACAAAAAAATGGAAGCTATCTCAAAGTGAATGCATTTTGTGTATTTTTCCAATTGAGCCATAAACACCTGTTGACATTCATCTTTTTTGAAGAAATATTCGTTCATAACGTCAAACTCTCTTGAAACATATCTATCTTTAAAAATATACAAGAAGCGTTAAAATACTTTACGCCCGAATTGTATGTAATGTTTGCATCTAACACAACGTTGAGTGAAAAGAAAATGTACCGAGTATCCAACTCAAGAATGAAAAACATATAATTACACAATATAAAAAAAAGCTTTAAACATAATTATTCAGTAATTTACATCGAATTTTTCATTAAACAATTTCATGAATCTGTAAAATCTTTAATATTGCAGCATTAGTTATTAGTGATGTTATTTGAATATATATCATCAAACTTACTAATCTACGAGTATTTGAATTCTTGAAAAAAAACAAGAATTATATAATTCATTTATTTACAGCTTTGCTATTTCTATTATCCTCTAGGACCAATAGTTCTCAAAATATGGAGCGGTCTGATTTCCAAGAAGGCTACAGGTGAGGCTGTATTTTTTGGTGCCTATGGCTGTCCGTGGCTGTAATTATCTGTCTGACCACCACATTTTGGCTGTCTGGTGTCCAGTGAACAAGGTTTTCTAATTGATTTACCCCTTGCACTTCTGCGTCTTCAGAGAAACTGAAGACGGATGACGCCGAAGGTATAACTTCGATCCGCTTCTGAAGATACCATCCACTGGTGATGGCGAAAATCAGTAATTAAAAATCCTCAAAAGACTGAATCGTTTGGATATAATGTAGTTGATCAATATTACTGTATTAATTCATTTTGTTATTTTTGTAGTACACCGTGGTTTTTTGGAAATGTAGCGTCACAAATTAACGAAAAAATGGGGCGAGGTACATCGACTAGGAGCATCCGATGACTGAATGATTGTCAAAATAGGAATAGAGACAAACAAATTTTGCAAACTACATGTGGGAGGTATTTGCACAACGAAACGTTTTGCCTCACTTAACCAACATTGAAGCTTTAACCATTTGTGAGATCATGTTTCTTATACTGATATTCGATTTTTACAAACATCTCTTAAGCAATTATGCAGCCAATTATCATTAAGCAATATGTTGATATATTTGTTATATAGTTAACCTCTCTGACTAGCTTAATCGTCGATAATATCTATGTACATACATCCTGTCATCATTCTTCAGATAATAAAAGTTTGAAAATCAAATTGTTCCTAACCTCAAATTGACTTAATGTAATTCATTCATTTCCGTTTATTTTCTTTCCGCTAGCTGACGTTCACCCACCGAATTGGATGGTCTTTATCAGAAGATATCAAATCTCGAAGTCAGAAAATGTTGTCAGGACCCATTTTGTATACGAAATGAACGGGAACCTTCATTTTCCTGCCATTTTGTACCTTCGGAATACTGCCAGGGAAAAGCTTATAAAGTTTGATTCGTACTTTATATTTCCCTTATGTCTATTCCGTCGCAGATCGTTATATTTTTGATCGGTTTGGAATTTGACATTAAATCGGCTTTATTTAACGTTTCAACGCAACATAGAATATTGAAAAGCATTCGACAGTAAAATCGATTGGGTTTCAGGCGTATACCGAGCATGTGACGTTTAGTGTTTAGTGTCTCACTACCTAACAGTCTTTGCGCCTGACAAATTTTAGCCAGAGTAATTTTACCAGCCCTGCACTTTGCTAGTACACTACAGATAATACTGTCTTAGATTCTCTTTAGAACCATATACGCCAGCGCCATCTGAAGTCATTAGTCATAACTAAGCCACCATAAGTGACGAGCTCTGATTATTGTTACTATGTATTATACACCACCTAACATACTTTTATTGATTGCAATTGCTCCTGAATTTTGATCACAAGTTTTATGCTATTCTTCCTGAATCCCTAACATACGGAAAATGTTTTATCTGCGCTTACTTTCAAGGATCCGAAATGCGGTACAAGTTGTTATTGGCATAACACACAAAAAAGTTCTCTATTAAAGTTTAATACGCTGCTATTGAATTACACAAATTTATAAGCGATTCTATGCTTCACTATCCCTTCCGCATAGTTATTTGTACTCTTGAAATGCAACGTGCTATTCCAGTGTTGAACGGTCACTATCGCAGGCGTTCGTGACGGACACTTCTGCTGTTAAAATAGCCATTGACCGCTCGGATAACAAACTCTTATTGTCCTGAAGATAAACAAGAATGCACATCAGCCTGTCCACCGACCTATTTTTTCGTATTTTTACTTTTTGCAATGCAACAATAGCACTTTGATTTCTACACGGCGCTGGTTTTCTGAAGTGGCTCATGCAACCACTGCCTCTTCGCTCTTCAATTTTCTATTACCAGCAACATAGCGATAGGTGATTTCCATTCATATCAATATCATGCCCAGAGGAAACCTTTTTTTCTTTTTTTTCGCTTCGGCCTAGGAAAACACGTTTTTGTAAACTATTGTTTTGAAAATTTTCAAAAATATAGAAACCAGTATGTTTGAGGAGGTCAGCGTTAAACCTCTGAAAGGCATATAATGGGATGTAGACAGATTGGGAAACTTAACAACAAAGACAACAGTTTCCATTGGTTTTTCAAAATCATCGATACAGATACGAATGAAGCCGTTGATTAACGCATTTAACCTGAAGATACTCCAACTGACGATATGTTCTCGCGACAAAAAATTATCCTAGATAAGATGAGATCCCGTCATCTACTAAAATTTGTCACAGGCTGTGACTCACTAACATTTTCAAAGTATTATATAGTACATTCCCAACTAGCAAAGTAGTGGTAAAGCTTTTGATAAAAGAACCGTTCAGCCATAAAACCTCTCTATTGTTGTTGCCTGAACACCAAAATGCTGGCTTAATGTTGTGTGGAATGCAAATTTGCTTTCTGCAACATATTTGCTCTAAAATGAGGTGTTTAAAATATTCTTATAGCATAGTTATACAACACCTTATAGGGGAAATTTTTAACTGTTGCATAAACGTTTATACAACTATTTTATACGGCATATTTGTAAGTTAGTCAAAATGTTTGTGTTGTGGCATCCATGGTAACGTTTATAAAACAAACCCAAGCCTTGTTTTGCTGTGCAATTTACTACCTTAGCCAACAAATTGCTCCCAACGGAAGCACTTATACAACTGTTGTTTAATAACTGTTAAAGGCTGTACATATTATGCTAAATATGTTGGTAAACAACTTCACCATAACATAACCTAACTTTCTGCTGTCATATTTTTGTTAAAATGCCATAACCAATGTTTTAAGACAAACAACGCATGCATATTGGTTCAAAAGGTTTTATCAACTGTTCAAACAGAAGATATAGATCTGGTACAAATTCTAGGTAAATTATTCGACTCTGTCAGTATTTCATTTCAGACATTTGTCAAATTGTTGTATAACACCTGCAGGCAACACCAAAATATTCTAATAACCTAAAGACAACATGGACGATGCCATGATTGTACACAACCACCCGCCTTATTGGGCAAACATTTATTCCTCTATTTAATATTAAATAATTATGTTTCAGTTCGAAATTACAGATATAAAGTGATAAACATCAGTGTAATTGTGTCTAAATATAGAATTTGTGGAAGATCATACATGCGAAGCCCGTAGAAATTGGGTAACTAATTTGCACGATAATCACAGTAAAATTTGCTGCGCAAGTAATTCAATAGCCCTATATCAAAGTGTAGAAGTTTATCATATACCTGTGTATGAAATTCACAATGGCCGATATGTAAGTAAACAAGATGACTGTAACGTGTTAGTTATATATTTTTCACTTCGTCTATACAATACATAAGAAATAGAATAGTTTGGTTGCAATAAAGTAGAATCATGTAACAGAATAGTTGTATAGTTGACAAAAACTGAATCTTGCACTGACGTAAATGTCCTATAGCGACTGCAAGAGGCTTACACTTTTGTTTTATAACTGTTACCTGCAGCCCTTATATAACCTCTTCAATGACTGAAGTGTCCTATTAGGTATGCCCATTCTGCTTGTATAGCTGTTCTAAGAGGGTTTTGCCAATGTTCTTACAGTATACAATGCTGTTTGAGGAATATTGTATAATCATTCTTGCAACTCTAATAGGAGTGATAATTGTTAGTTGGGTTGGGAGACGGCTGTGTTGAATTTTTATAGATTTACGCTACGGTTTCGACAATTTTTTAGACACGGGAGTATAGCTTTAGGTTAGTAATGTTGAGGTAGAATACATTAATCAGTGATGGATCGTACCTCGACATTTCAATTTACTTGACTAATATAGGAATTACGGTATTTACGAATTGTTGGAATTGTAATAACAAAGCTGAAAATATGTTTCATGTATATACTTTGGGATATAATACAGAACTTATAGTTTAGTAGCGTTGTGAGATGGTCAAGTTCATCAGGGTTATCCTCCATACATAATTATACACAGAATATTATTTTTGGTAGTCATATCGACAAGTGATATTGTAACACGTACTCTTCCGCGCACAGGTACTGCTAGCGGGTCGGCTTCGGGAGCCATAATGATGAAATTCTTCACGCTATATTCTCCCTGCATCAAGAAAAATTCATTTGTAGTAATTCAGTAATAGTTGAATGGCAGTAGATAATTCTAGTGTTGCTAGAAGGAATCAAGTCATAATATTATTGAGATTCGGTCAACATGAAACATTTATTAAAAATATGACGTTTCACTCGAACTACCAGCATATTTCTGGCAGAAATATAATTATTTCCCCCTACTAGTCTAGAAACTTACATGTACTTGAGGATGGCGTGTAAAGTCGTCAAAACGTCGTATTTTTAATACATGTTTTAAATTTACGGAATCGTAAGAATTTATAACTTGAATTGATATCAACGGTCAGGAATACAAAACTGTAAAGTTATCAATATAAATAATGTGGAAAACATCACGCTTGTCTAAATATTGTCGAGAAGTTGGATGATAGAATATCTATTGTTTGTGGTTCTTTCCTAATCCAAAGGTTTTCTACTAAGCCGGTTAGCGAACATTGGCAATTATATAAAAAATTACATATAAAAATAAAAAATATACAAAGCTTTGAGTATTCTTTATATCCCCAAATAGCATTGTTTATGTGAAACAGATAATTTAAAAAAATACCTTGTGTGCCCACATCCCGAATAAATTTTGATTAAATCCTTGCCCCTGAAAGGGTTAAAAAGGAAATTCTACTTCAGAAAGATGAAGTACCCAACCTTTGGCTGAGATGGAAATGCCCAGCAATGCTTAGGCACTTATGTCATGGTCTCCTGGATTGATATCGAGGAATGTCTTAAAGATTTGGCTTTTAACTATTTCAACCAAAGTCATGTTGCAACACTACTCAGAAAATAGAAAATATGGTTTGTCTTACCGGGGGAATAGGGCACCTGTCAGGATCCTTCACACCCATTTCTCTCCAAATTTTTGTCGTATAGAAACTAAAGAATCTCCTCATCGTGTCACAAGCATTCGGTAGTACAGGCAGATATGGAATTTTAGTCCAACCTGAAGATCCCCATTTTTCAACTTCTATCTTCATCTAAAATTTAGTTTTCATGCGTTAAAATCTAAATCCCGAAATGGATCGTGTAGAGAGTTACCGCAACATTGGAGTCAAGAGGCGATGTCAGTACCATTTTGATGGATAATGCTCTTGTAGATCTATTTACTAGTTCATATTTTAAGTATCTTACACTTCCAGGGTTTTTGTAGTCACATAGTTCCATGCTTTGAATCTTCAAACCGGTAGTGTATTCCTTGAAAACATCATTATAACTTAAAATATACGGTTATGTACTAAGATATAAATGGCGATTTTTTGTGTAATCTAAGCCTTTGTTTTTAACACTGGATGAATTGATTGAATATTTGATATTAACGTGTACAGCAACTGGCGACATGGAGAAAGTTAATAAGGTTTTGTTGAACGTGAAAAGATGCTGCTACGTCTACGGCCGACTTCACGAGTATCCGTTAGGTTTTGACATCTGTTGAGGTGAACAGCAGATCAGCAAGTGACTCCTTTGTGTTAGTCTTTAACGATGGCAATAATTAATCGGATGTAAATCTGGTAGGACTTAGGACCGTACTCTGAGCTGTTCACATATCTAGATACTTTTTGTGACTGGGAATTTTGACAATAAAATATATGAAGTACACAAAAACAAGTTTATTATAAGTTTTTGGTCGGTTGTCCGTGATCAGTATAACGTAATTCAAATATAGCTGTTTCATTGCACTTTGAAATCATATGATGTTTCGACCTCTAAAAAGTAGAGCTGACTAACAAACTTGAAATCTATTTGTCTCACTCCAGTCCTACCTGAGTTGAAATGCATGATTAGCAGTCGTTTGCTTGTAGCGTTTATTATTTTTGTATGTGATGGAGCTTTTTTTTATAAAAGAGTTGTTAGCAAGTACAAAACTAATCCGCAGCGTGCAAAAAAAAAATAAAAAAACACGGCTCCGTCTAGCTGGCGTTGATGGATCCATCAGAGTTGTCTGTCTCTTGTCGATATGGGGAATTTTGAAATAATACTAGATTTTCAGCTGTTGTTTGACTCGCCAAATAGACAATGCTGCTTGCACTCTGCTTTGATGAGAACATTTGTAAGTTATGACAGTCAACGCATCGTCCATTTTTCCAGGTTGCCAGACTATGGTACCAAATTTCATAACGTGTCATACAGCACTTAAACCAATTAACAAAGTGACGGTACACTTAGGGAAATGGGAAACAAAGAAGTAGTAGATTCAGCCAAGCCAGGCGTCCATGATTAAATAAAAGCGGAGCGTATGGAAACTTTCTGGTTGGCTGCTTTCTGGCCACTGCAGATTGTAAAGACGTCCGTCACTCATGAAGATAGCAAAATATCCTATTTGATTCAAATACGAGTATCATTTTACTTCATACGCCAACTGTCAAGGAAGTATTGTAATCGCGAAAAATTTCGAAATTGAGATAGGTATGTTGATTGGGTGTTTTATGACATGCAAATCACGAAGAACTGTCACAAATTTTCGTCAAAATAACTCAAACCTTCGTTTTTTGACCTTTCAGAGGCTTTTGATGATATTTGGAAATTTCTTTGTATATGGGTAACAACATGCAACTGGTGAACCTGCGGCGGTATCGACAATGAGGCACCACTACAGGAGAATATTTATACAGGGTGACTTTGAAGTTGAGTCATTAATTTTCAGATAATGATTGTAGAAGGAAGATAAACCAAAATATGTGTGTAAAAATAAAAAAAAAATAAAAAAAAAAATTTACCTTGTTTTATAAAGTATCCTCCCGACAAGTATTTCAGTGCGGACCTGTATTTGATCGTGAGGTCCCCTGTGAGGTCTTAAGTCACCTGATTCACGAGCCCGTTGTACTACATTAACAAAGGCACGAGGGGTTGGTTGCACTCGATTGGGAAACCGATCCGCATAAACATGTGCCATTTTTTATTTCGTTTGAGCCACGCAACTATTCACACGCGACTGAAACTGACTGTATGTATAACTGAACTGAATTGTAATCGTAAAAACATCGTTCCAAATTCTTTCGCTTTTTTGTTTCCGATGCGATGAACCGTTGTTGCCAAACACGAACACATGATATTATTGAGACAGGGCGGTACTCAAACTTCCAAAGGGATATAACTTTGTTACTTTAATTTTACCAGAAAAATGGTAAAGGAAAAAAACATTTCTTTTGATCAGATCTACTCACTGTTAAAATAAATGACTCAACTTCGAAGTCACCCTGTATATTTCAGATATATTTGCTTAAACTGACTAGCAGCTTGCTGAAGTAAGCGCGCTATTCAAAACCGCTAGCGGCATTGAGCTGCTTCACGGCAACGCTCGACCTTACGTTGCCGCAAAAACACAGACGCAACTTGAGAGGGTTTGTTGGGAATTACCGAATCATCGGCCATACTTCCAAAACTAAGGAATGCCTTGATGGAAAGCGTTTTGTATATAAATACATGTTGAACGAAACAGTTACTAACTGGTTTGATGCTCAAACGGTAGCTGGTGCCACAACTTGACAAATGTTTAAATGCTTATGGATACTACGTTGGAGATAAAGAAGTGTTAATATTTTAGTTTGTGATACAATTTACGCTCATAAATGTAGTTTCTCTGACGCTATTACAAAACGACTCCTACCTGAAAGTGTCCCCCGTACATCAGTATGTGTGTGCGCGTGTGTATCAAGCCCTTGTAGCTGAGTTATTCGGCAAGAGTTCGAAAATCAAAAAACTACATACCAGAATTACCGCCGCACATAGCACAGTAAATAGTGGATTCATGATAGTCAGATCCAAAACTATATGCTATGCAAAATTATTTAGGGACAGTAAATTTTTTATCTAAATAATTTGATCTTATGTATCAGTTCAATCTGCTAATGGGTATTATGACAGCGGATATACAAAACTTAATTGTTATTTTGTTTAATGCGTTATTAATGCAGTTTTTGTATGTTTTATCCTCGAATTATTGACGATTACATATGCTATTAGTCGTAGTATCAGTAGTAATTGTAGTGTAGTAGTAGTAGGCGGTGAGGCGCAGCATAGTAACCTTTGACCGTTTTTGCCGATACCGTTGTATGAACACTGTACTACCCCGCATGTTTATGTGGTAACTGATTAGGTATTTAATAAACTAGCTCAAGCGGTGTAATGATCTGGTGTATACAAACATGGTGAGTTTTTAGGGTGCGCTTGGTCGATAACTCCATTATTACGCACGATATCTAAAAGATGTGGAGATGAAAAGTGTAGCCAACTGTATGCTTCTAACTTGGCAAATATTTTTGCCTTTACAGGGTGATTCGTAACTATTTGGTGATTCAAGAATACATTTGGTGGTCAAGAAGGTGGAATGAACTATTTTTAACATTTTCGAATGGGATACCGTACATATATTTCCCCTTTTTTCTAAAGTCTATGGATGAGCAATTATACGCTTGGGAGTCAGTGATAACGAAGATTGGAGTACCAAAATTCGTGAAAAATGGACAATTTACTGTACCTGAACTTGATAAAATACGTTCTTTATAAATTAAGCCATAATTTAATTGATTAATTTGAATATGTCTTGACAAGATTCTCAATTTTGAAGACTGATGAGCAACTCTAGACTGTTAAGTTCCTACCTCTTGTTTACTTCACTATTGCAATAACTGAGAGATGTTTTGTTTTTATTTTTAGTATTGGGGTACTTCTAGTAAATGTATTTCGTAATAAGAGAGAAGACTGCCTGATTTTGTTAAAATAAATAAGAAAAAGACATTTGCTGGAAATATTTTTAATTTTTGTGACTTTTTTTAGTTTTTTTGTGCAATAAAAAGTGCCTAACAATAATATAATATGTCTTTCTTTCATATTTGCCGATATATACTGTTTACTTTGCTCCACCATTAAATATCAATACGTTGTAATACTTAAAAACCAAGTGGGTCAAAGAAACCATCTCTTAAGTAAAACTTTGGCCCTAACTTTAAAAAAAAAATATGTCTAACCCCGAAGTTATATCAGCGTTTTTAGACTATAAATGTGTTATTTATATCCCTACTAAACATTTGTCTAAATAACACAAACATAGCATCTTTAAAACTGTAAAGTAAAAGTAATTGTAAGGGCAATAAAAAATATCATTATTTTGGGACAAAGTACCCCGACCTTACGGTATATGCTTCAAAGAAATATAGCTCTCACAATTAGGAAATTGAAAAAAATATGTCTTAGGTACATATCAAAATCACGATACTCAATTCAATGTAGTTACTTTTGAACCAAGAGCCCTTCTTTGTGTAAGCTCATTTTTGGAAAGGACGAAGCACATTCTGTAAAGGGAATGGGTTTTGGCGAATTTTCTTCTAAATGATATTATGACGGGTACAAACCTCGAGAGACTCATCGTCAAGACTTATCAAGCTTCAAAGGTGTGCATTTTTGATGCAGAGGAATAACAAATTGGCGGTAGGTGTCTAGGGTATGTGCAATGTACACAGGCGTAGGACCGTAACGGCTTTTCTGTCAGTTTCAACGTATAAGCTGTATCAGCTTAAGTTGTGCTTGTGAGCTTTACTGTGGAACCAGCTAATGTTCGTGTAATTTCTCACTGACCCCAGTTACTGATTAGATGCAATATGATAGTTTGTTGTCCAACAACCTTATTTCAACTTCCTTATTCATGTCATATCCTGATGTGTCTACTATCGAAAATGTGAGCAATATAGTAATACGACCATTTCCGGGCTTGATTCCGTGTTCGTTCCATATTAAGTTGATCCGAACGTCGACCTGGTGTCTATTTGAGCCGGCCGAAAACCCTTTGCGCGGATGGCATGTCGGCCTTAGAGGAACACAGCCAGGTGTGCCAGCGGGCCATATCATAAAACCACCGTTGCCTTCACTTTAACAAAATGGAAGCAATAACTTTTATCGTTCGGAATCACGGAAACCCTTCCTCCGTATTGCGAACGGCTGCTCCTGTTTTATACTACAAAGTGGATCGAAGCGACTATGAAATATGGCCATGTCCGGATTGCAGTATATCCACTACACTACATGCAGAAGCTATCATGAGGTACCGCAACATGAAAATTATAGATAGCGTGGAAATGTAGTAGATTCGCATCTTCCCAAAGGAAGTCGCTGAGGAAATCGGCAATATACGGTACGATGTGGAAATGATCCGCTTTACATCTTGTTCTAATGGCTTTCTGCACATTGTGTCACTATACAGGGTATCCGCAAAGTTGGGGTTCTCCTTTTCAGACACAACTACGCTTGATATAACA